CTTTCTTTCTTTCTTTCTTTCTTTTTCTTTCTTTCTTTCTTTCGAAAAGATTTATAATCCTTTTGATGAGATGTGATTATTTATATTCCATGTTGGGATTAAATAGTTGTAGTCTTTTAAAGGGTCTTCATATAATTCCATATAGTTTGGCTATCATCCAAAGAAAGACGAACATCCTCCGACAATTAATTTATGGCTATCTAAAGTATGGGAATATTTTTTATTAGAAACCGTTTCCATTTTTAACACGAATGACCAAAATGAATGTGAACTAATGAACCCAACTGGTAAATGGTATCCAATTGTGGATAAGTTAACCTTTGAGTCTTTTGATTGGAAAGCGATTAGTGCAGCACAATACTCATTGTTATTGATAAGCTAGCAAACTTCTATCAGTATTTGAGTAAGTCAAATTGGAAGTCTGTATACACACTGACATATATATGAAAAATTGTTAAAATGTTGTGTGAGAACCTGTATTTATTTGTTATGTTCTGAATTAAAATCTAATAAAATATTATGGTTAAAAAAAAATCCAAAGAATATAAGTGTATTTCTGCTTCAATGATGTTTAGAGTCAAACAGATAAATTTTCTTCCAAGTTTATATTCCCAAAAGTATTATTATAAGCTCAGACAACAACTTTTCTTTTCTTCTTTGCCCCGGAAAGCATTTAAATTTTTTTCCCCCATTAAGTTCTTTTCCTAGCCAGCTGAAGAAAGAGGGAGGGGGAGGGAGGAATTTTCCACCCCTCCTTTCTTTGTCCATTTAAAATTTAATGGGGCTTATTCAGAGAACTGACAAAGTCCTTAATGTTGTTCCTTTTGGCTGTACTCACGGTGATGGTTATCATCGGTGTTATGGATGAGGTTCTTTCTTCTTCTCCTCCATCTGGGTGTTCACAGCTTTGCACTTGTGGCTTCCATGAGTGCGCTCACGCGAGTCCTGCTTTCTAGGGCGATCCTGGACCCTTACCCACCTGCCCCTTCGAGGAGACCCAATGGAGCCTCGGATCCCCCAGACCCCACTAAAAACCCGGTGATACGGCCACTGTGGGAGCTTGTCCCGGGGCTGGCCGTCACCGCTGCGCCGCAACCCGATCTCCACAAATTCCACATTTTAATCACTCTCTGTGTAAAGTAGTTTTTCCTTTGTTCTGTTGCTTCAGACCAACATGGCCACCCACCTGAAGAAAGATGGCAATGCCAGGAAAAGTTGGAAGGCAGGAGGAAAAGAGAAAGACACACACAAACACACCCATGAGATGGATCGACTCAATCAGGGAAGCCACAAACTGAAACTCAAGCTTTTTGTTTTCTAAAAAAAACACCCTGATGTTACAGCCCCACTGACCCATGAATACCATTCCACTATGGGCCCTCGAAGAGGTAAGATACTCAGTGGTTATGCTGGGTCTCCAGCTGGTGGCGTACCGATTCCCCAGGCCTATCCATCACCTGGAGGGGTTCTTTGCTTCTCTCTGGAAATTTACGCTGCCACCAAAGGGCCAGTTAAATTATCTCCTTCATAGAGGGCCAGCCCTCTTAGCATTCCATCTGCATCACTGTTTACATGTATTTACCAACTCTCCCTTCCACTGGTGCTGTGTTCATGTGTGACTTAATCTGTTTATGGAGAAAAAAGTTTCAACGCTCAAGGTAATAAAAAAATTGTTTAAAAAGAAAATGTCCATACTAACACTCTGCACGGTAAGGATCAAGCAAGTATACAAAGAAAAGGTGTATCATAGAATCATACAGAGAGTTGGAAAGGACCTCCGGGGTCAACTAGTCCAACAATGCATGAACACCTCCCCCCTCACACCTCCAGTGACTGCTGTTTTATGTCCAGAAGGTGACCAACCCCCCCCCCCCGGATCTCCAGCCAATCTCGCCTGGAGAAAAATTGCTGCCTGACCCCAAAGTGGCGATCGGCATTTCCCTGGGCATGTAAGAAAGGTCCACAGGAACTAAGCACTGATGTAACCCTTCCTGCCTTCCCTCTCATGATCTGCCTAAATTCACAGAATCAGCATTGAGTGTAGCATTACTACACTTTATACACTTAACGACACACTTAAATGTTGTAAACTACACACTTAACTACACACTTAAATGTTGTAAATAAGTAAATAAAGAAAACACAGTCCTCTGCCCCTCCCCTTGACATATAGGGTTGCCAAATGGATTTTGGCCGGGAGCAGGGGGCTCCCGGCCGGCGTCTAAATCGTGTGCGTCGCCCGAAAGTGACGTCGCACACTGGGAGCGGGGCCACGCCATTTGAGGGGAAAACAAAGAGTTTTCCCCTCAAATGGTGTGGCCCCGCCCCCAGCGTGCAACGTCACTTCCGGGTGACACGCACGCGGGGGTGGGTTTCCCCCAGGCCCGGTTCCGGGGGGGGGGGGAATCGGGCCTTGAAAGGGGGGGGGGGGGAAATCCGCCCCCCGGGGGGATTTGGGAACCCTATTGACATACCCGGTCTGTTGTTGTTCTAAGCTAGGCTATTTACACTTTACCACAGCATTCTATCGGTCATCTGTTACATTGAGTCTTTGTTTGGACTTCCTGACCCTTCATTAGTGATTGTTCTCTGCTGGCTGGAAGATTTGCATAACTGAATCTTGAGTACCGGGTGCCTGAGAGCGCTGTCGACAAGGCAAGGAATGCTTCCGTTGACCTCCCTCCTGTTTCCTGATCCTTTACCAACAGATAGACTTTTTGGAGCAAATGTGGGGGGATTGCAGCCCCCAAACTCTCTGTAGTGTAATGTGGCATTTCTCCAAACCTGAAAAAGATCATATCTGAAGATCAGCAAACACGCCTGCATCACTCAGCTTTTTGTCATCCATTCCTTCTCCTTCCTGGTGTCAGCTGTGCTCTTTGAGGTTCAAAAATCAATCGAACCACTGGAGAGCCAGTTTGGTGTAGTGATTAGGAGCATGGACTCTAATCTGGGGAAACCAGGTTAGATTACCCACTCCTCCTCATGCAGCCAGCTGGTGTTACCTTGGGTCAGTCACATTTCTCTCAGAGCTGTTCTGGAAAGAGCAGATCTCAAAAAAGCTCTCTCAGCCCCACCTACCTCACAGGGTGTCTGTTGTGAGGAGGGGGAGGGAAAGGAGATTGTAAACCACTCTGAGACACCATTGGGTAGTGAAAGGCAGGGTATAAATCCAATCTCTTTTAATCTTCTCTTCTTCATTATCAAGTTTCGGGCCCAGAATAACAATATTACTTTAAGGTAGTTAATATGAAGGATACAAACAGGTTTTTTTAACAATTAAAATATTAAATGGAATCAAGGATTTTCTATTTGCATTTTTTGGCTTGTGAACTATATACAAAATGAACTTAAAATGTTGTTGAGGTATACCTCTTGCCGGGAGACGAATATCTGATACAGAAAAAATGACACTTCGGGCTTTTTGAATCAGAACTTGCCAGAAACTCTTTGAATCTTACAATCGTGGCCTGATATCTGCCCTCTACCAACTCTTACTCAGAGAGTTGTCGCTTGGTCCTCTGCCCTACCAACTGTCATGGCAGGGAGACTGCGAACTCCCCCTAGATGATGCCACGTGGTCAGAATTATGGAACTCTCCGAATTTTAAATCCTCTATTATTTCCATATAAATATGTCCTACAGAATCACCCTACTGTTGGAAGGGGTGTCAACAACACGGCATGTACGCACATTGCTGGTGGAAATGTGAAAAGATACAGGCTTTGGGGGAACTAGTCTTACACCACATTCATTGCATCCCAGGGGTCAAACTCCCCCTTACTCCAGAAGTGCTCTTCCTTGAACTCTGGCCCGTTCCATTTGCCACACACCACTCCAAGCCAACCATTGACATCATGATCTATACGGCAAAAAATGCTATTGCCTCTTGTTGGCGCAAACCCTACCCCCCAACCTGAAGATGTGGTTCAGAAAACTGTGGAAGACATACTTGATGGACAATATCTCTGAGAAAATTAACAAATCCCTATTGAAACTAGTCAAAACAAATTTTGATAGCAAATGGTTCCCAATATTAGAATTTATATCACGGCATGAATTCATATCACCAGATTGGAAGCAATTGCAGAAATGGCTCTAAACTCTGACCCTCTCAAAAAGTGTACCATATTGTATTCCTATTGCTTTAATAATTTATCTCTACCTTAACGATATGAGTTACCATTTTTTATGACACTTTAATGTACTATAAGTAGCACTAAAGAAGAAATCTGGGACTCCTCTTCACATGGAAATACACTGTCGATTGATTGTTCATAGGTAGTTTTGTTAAACTGCTGAATTTCATTACGCTTTATCCTAGTTGTACTATATTGCACCGTAAAATGCAAAATGTTTTGCATTGATGTGTCACTTTAATGTTTACGCAACTTACAATAAATCTTTTTCCACACTCTGAGCATTCAAACGGTTTCTCCCCTCTGTGGGTTCTTCGGTGCTGTTGAAGAGCGCTACTGTGACCAAATCTCTTTCCACATAGCGAGCATTCAAAAGGTTTCTCTCCTGTGCGGGTTCTTATATGCTCCTGAAGATTCTAACTCTGACTGAATCTCTTTCCACACTCTGAGCATTCATAATGTTTCTCCTCTGTGTGTGTTCTTTGGTGCTGTTGAAGAGTGCTACTGTGACTGAATGTCTTTCCACACTCTGAGCATTCAAAAGGCTTCTCCCCTGTGCTTTCATGAGTCAGTGCTCACTTCTTCAGGTATTCTTGGAAGCTGCCCTGAGCCCTGCTTGCAGGGAAAGGAGCGACTCACGAAAACGTCTCCCCGCCACAAGTTTTGCTAGTCTTGAAGGCGCAACTGGACTCTTTCTCTTTTCTACTGCTACAGACAGACTAACACGTCCACCCACCTTCATGTCAGGCTCTTGAACAAACTTACTCTCAACAACACTCTCTGGACAGTGATTTGTTTACTGAGAGATGCACATTTGTCAAACCTCCCCCCCCACAGTGACTCGTCCAACCAATCCATCCATTCAGCCTGCCTAAATCTCACACAAAGCATTATTCCTTACCACCACCTATGGACCTAGAGCTATATTATCTATGACAGGCCAGCTAGCAGAGACAAGCTTTCCAGGTTGTTCCACATACTTCCCTTTCGGAAGGCCTCTTAGGAAAACAGTTCCCAAGCAGTTAAGCAAAGCAGTTTCTCGCACACTCGTTCTCTCTCTCATCTACCACCACCACCCCATACCCAATTGCAGGTCATGAAACCGGAACACACAAAATTCATGGCAAACGAGGCTCCAGTTTGACGCATTTCATGTCTTAGGTAGCTTTTCTTGTTTTCCTGTTGCTGAGGGCCTCTCATTCCCCCCTCCTTTTCCTCAGGCCAGGAGACACCTTCTCTGACTTGGGTGATGGGCACAACACTGGCCTCAGTTGCCCCTGGGCAAGTACACACACATGAACGCAGGAAGGTGCCTTACGCTGAATCAGACCCTTGGTCCACTGAAGTCAGTCTGGTCCACTCAGTCCGGCAGTGGATCTCCAGGGTCTCAGGAAGAGGTCTTTCCCATCACCTACTGCCTGGTCCTTTTGACTGGAGATGCCAGGGAACTGAACCTGGGGCCTCCCGCATGCCAAGCGGATGCTCTGCCCCTGAGCCACAGCCCCTCCCCAAGTAGTGGGACAGGCCTCAAAACGGTGTGTTGCTGTTCAGTATTTTGATTCATGCCTCATCCCAACCAGTGTTCCCTCTAAGCTGAGTTAATGTGAGCTAGCTCACACATTTTCGCCTTAGCTCAGGAAGGAGGATACACTTGCGCTAAGTCAAGCTTGGCGAAAACCTTCCCTCAACCCAGGGATGCCAGAATGTGGCTGATGATGGGCACGGGGTAAGAGTGCTGTTGTAAGGCACGGTTAATAGTGCACTTATAGTCAGCACAAATTCTTACCGACCCGTCTGACTTCACCGGCGTCACTATAGGAGTTTCCCATTTGCTAAAGGGAACCGGCTCAAGCACCCCCTGCTCAATTAGCTTGTCCAGCGCTGCTTTGATCTGGGGCTTAAGCGAAATGGGCACCTTCCAATACTTCAATCGGATCGGGGTCACAGATGGATCGAGTTCGAACGATACCGGGGGCCCGTTGTACCTACCCAGGCCGCCCCCAAACACATCAGGGAACTCTGCATACAACAATGCCCATGTATTCTCAACAATGGTTGTTCACACCAGTAATTGCAATACCCAGGCGTTCAAACGAATCCAGGCCAAGCAAGTCAATCTGGTCCCCCTCAGCAACCAACAGAGATAATGTGGCACATTTTTCCTTAAATTCAACATTGAATGTATCCCTCCCCGCTAGAGGGATACGGTTTCCCTGGAATCTGACACCCAGGTGTCCGCGGGCTTCAGCCGCCGTGGACTCTGGCCGGGCTGGGGAATCCCTGGGAATCCGGGCGGCGGGGGGAGGCTGCCCCACAGATTCCCTTTAGAGAGGGCGCCAAAGTGGTGCTTAGCCGGGTTCCCAACCTCAAGGAGGGACACAGGTCCTCCCAGGACTACAAAGGCCCCCCCCTCCAGATGGCCGAGATCAGGCCCACGGCACGGGAAGGGGGGGGCTCGATGGCTTTGCCTCCCGTGTGTGGGTTCTGCCCCCCCAGCAAGCGGGCCTTTCCTGGGATGCAGGGCCCCCCCGCAAATGTGCAGGGATTCGCCACCCGGGAGTTGGCAATCGTGGCCCCCTCCCTTATGCATCCCCACCCCTCGGGTGCCAGGAGGAGGAGGAGCCCAAAACTCACTGGGGGGGGGGTCTCTGGGGGGAGATCCAGCTCTTTGCTAAAACTGACTGGCTGGTCTCCTCCGTGACGCCCCGTCGCCCCCTCCCCTCCTGCGGGACCTTCCCCCTCGAAGGCGGCCGGGAAAGTTCCCTCCTCACCGGGGTTGCCAGCTCCGGACTGGGGGATACCGGGAGATTTCAGGGGGTGGAGTCTCTGGAGGGGTGGGGGTCGCTTTACAGAGGAGCTTCCACCCTCCAAGGCAGCTCCTTTCTGGGGGGGGGGGCTGAGATGACCTCCGTAGCCTGGAGATCCGTTATGAACCCCCGGGCATAATGCGAGAGGGACGATACCTGTGGACCGATCATGGATTCGGGCTGACCAGGAAACCCGCCCCTGGGCCACGATGGGCTTGATATGTGACTTGGTGGTGTGGTGACCCAGTGCAGAACACCCCCCCCCCAAGGATCCCTGCTTTGGAATCATGGTTGTGCGTCACCCTGTCGCCAGGGAGCCATGGCTGCCTCAAAGCAGCAGCTGCTTCAGAATCATGGTGTCTTGCATCTGTGTGTGTGAGTGCGTGCCCCCGTGCCTGGAAGTCAGGGCGACCTCTGGCAACTTCCACTGGGGCGTGGAGGACGTTCAGAGACGTGGCCTGATGGCCTGCCTCTGCCTCCCGACCCTGGCATTCCTTGGAGGTCTCCCCTCCAAGTACTTGCCAGGATTGGCCCTGCTTAGCTTCCAAGATCTGACATCAGGCTTGCCGGGGGTGCCCAACTCAGGGCTGATCCGTGATTTCTGGGGTGCCAGCCGTGCCCATGGACACCTTTCAATACTTGGGTGTCACCTGAAGAAGCCAGCCGTGACTCAGGAAAGCTCCTCCCCTGCCCCACAAGTTCCATGAGTCTTCTCTGAGGTCCTCCTGGCCTCTTGCTCTTTCCGGCTGCTCCTACCGAGAGACTAAGATGGCTGCCCATCTTCCTCCGTCTGCAGACTTGGCCACTGCATTGCTCACCCATCGTTCCAGATAATCGATATAAATACATTAAATACATTTGGCCCCCTTGTGGGACCCCACTGCTTACTCCCCCCCCCTCCATTGGGAAAACTGTCCATTCATTCCCACTCTTTGCTTCCTGTCTTGGCTGATTTATGGTGACCCTGCCACAAAACCAGGCGGTAGGTTTCCTAGGCAGAGGATGCTGGAGGGGGAGAGAGGGGAAACTAAAGATGGAGGAGCAGGAAAATACAGGCGGGCTAAAAGAGAGGGTGTTACGGGGGTCTTTCAGCAAAGGGAAATGTGACATACTGCTGGATGGGGGGACTGAGATGCATCTCATTAGTCCTTGCCGGTTCCCACTTGGAAATAAATAAATACAGAAGTCCTGAGATTTCTGCACCAATCAAACACATCTCTTTGAAGAACACCCCCCCCACACACACAAAAAAACCATTTAATCCTCATAACTATCTTAGCCTGAAAATGTGAAATGTGCTTCCTGTTGTAGCTGATTTATGGTGATCCTGCAGGGTTTTCAAGGCAAGAGACATTCAGGGGTGGTTGGCCATTGCCTGCCTCCAGGTCACGATAACCCTGGTATTCCTTGGAGGTCTCTCCCATTCGTGTACAATCCAGGGCCTGCTCTGCTTAGCTTCCGAGACCTAACAAGCCTGGGCCATCGATCCAGCTCCGGATAATAGCTGAGCCACGGCATTCTGCACCAACTGGACTTTCTGAATGGATTCTGAGGGAAGACCCATGGACAGGGCATTACAGCAGTCTAGTCTGGACGTCACCGTGGCGTGGGTCCAGGTGGCCAGGTCAGCCGTATCAAGGTAAGGGGCCATCTAATGGGCTAGGCTGAGTTGGGAGGAAGCATTATGTGGAGAGGTCTTAACTGGCTTCTACAGCAGTACTGTTGGATCTGATATGACCCCCCCGGCTCTTAACTCAGTCAGCAAAGGGGTCAGCCGAACTCCACCAGAAGTGCGGGGCATAATGACATTCAGGATCTCCACCTTCCCAAACAACATTACCCCTGTCTTTTCACGGATTAGTCTTCGCTTTTAGCCAATCTCCCCCACCCTAGCCCAACAGTGACTTAGGATTTATGATGCCAGAGAATCCACTCTCCAAAGCAGTCATTTTTCACCAGGGAAACTGATCTGTGTTGTCCAGAGTTCAGCTGTGATTCTGGGAGATCTCCAGGCCCCACCTGGAAGCTGGCAACCCTAGGACCCTGGCAGCAACCACGGGGTGAATTCACACCACCTGACCTGCCTGACTTGCCTAGGACTGCCTCCTGGATCCTGTCCAACCACAGACGCCGCCCCAGGAAAGGCAGTACAGTGTCCTGGTTAAGAGCTTCAGAGAACCATCTCAGAGACTCAGGTGCTAATCCCCATCTCGTTGTGGGAGCTCACTGGGTGATTTTGGGCCAGTCACACACTTTCAGCGTAACCAACTTCACAAGGTTGTTGTGAGGATAAAGAGGAGCAGAGGAGAATGATGCAAGTTCCTTCAGTCCCTACTGTGGGGAAAGCCAGGGAACAAATACAGGAAGGATAAACGTTGCTGAAGATGAGAGCAGAGAAAAGGCAGGTTGGTGAATGGCCGGGAAGGAGAGAAGTAGTCAGGGAAAGGGGAGAGGATACGGGGGCTGCCAGGAGAAGGAAAAGAGGGGGGGGAAAGTGCAGGGCCCCCCCCCCCCGGGCCTTGAGGACTCCCTGCCATGCAGGTCGGCCTGGCCCAGTGGGCACCGTCACAGACCTGGGCCGTCCGTTTCCCAGGCAGAGGATGCTGGAGGGGGAGTGGGGGACAGCTGAAGACGGAGGGGCAGGAAAAAGAGGCTGGCTAAAAGAGGGGGTGTTACGGGGGCCTTTCAGCAAAGGGAAATATGAAATACTGCTTGGGGGGGGGAATGAGATGCAGCTCATTAGTCCTTGGCGGTTCCCACTTGGAAATAAATAAATAAATGCAGAAGTCCTGAGATTTCTGCACCAACCGAACACATCTCTTTGAAGAAGACCCCCCCACACAGAAACAATAATATTTAAACCTCACAACTATATTAGCCTGAAAATGTGACTGGCTAAAGGGCATCCAGAGACCTCCCAAGCCTACTGTGGATTAGAACCCAGATCCACCAAGTCCGTAACACAACACACTGGCCCTTGAACTTACCTGACCCACATACTGGGTAAGGGTCATTCATGGAGATCAGCCACGGCCCCAGTGCGCGTCTCAAGCATCTGCAAGAGGATTTTCGATTTACAACTCTCTACACAATTGAAAAAAGACGTCCCACACTAACCTTTGACACATTTAATGAAGCCCAGCAGATTAAAAACCTCTGCAAAACAGAAAACACGAAGTCTGGTTTACCTCATACAAATAATTGTCGCTCTAAAGAGCTGTAACCCAGGGGTGTCAAACTAATTTGTTATGACATAAATGGAACTTGGTCGGGCTCAGCCATGTGTGTCATAAAATGTCATGCCAGTTGGTGGGATTATAAACTCTATAAAGGATACAGACAAACACAATTAAAGATAATTTTTTTTTACTTAAAATACAAACATGCTTAGAACTCTTGCAATTTTGGGGGGGCAATGCAATTTTAAAAACAAAACATCAGGATAAAGTACAAGGATCACAGCAGAAACTAAAAATATAAACTAAAAATATAAAATGCTCTGAGCTTAGGAAAACATGAAATAGCTGGGCAGGTTTCTCAGAGTGGCAATGGCTCTTCAGTCTTATGCCCCCCTTTGGCTGTGGGTTCCCAGGTCAGAGTACCCACTCAAGTCCAGTCAGAAGACACAAGCTGGCTCAAAACATCAAGTGTTTCTTCGCAAGAAGACAACTTCAGCAAGCAACAGCTTCAGCTAGCATACAAGCACTGGAAAGTGAAACTACCTGAGTTCCGCTCCATTGAAATACATTGCTGCACAGACAAAGCTGCAAAGAAAATGCGGAATGTATCTTCCATTATGGCCTCTGGGATCAGGTAGACTACTCTGGGACTGGAAAGACAGCCACCAGACAGAAATGACAGTCCCTGAGGATAGAGTGGAATTCCATTCCCAGAAAACTGCTGCTGCTGCTACTCCCAGGGGCTGTCATTCCACTCTGCGCCCTGTCATTCCAGTCCCAGAGCACTGTTTCTATTGCTAGAAACAGTCCCAGAGCAGCCTATCTGGATGCAGAGACCTGAACAGAAAATCCATCCCACATTTTCTTTGCAAGCCCAGAAGACCCGGGTGAGCACAGGCAGGGGAGAAAGAGGTGGGAGAAGAAAAGACCCGCAGGCCAGATGAAAGCCACGGGTGGGCTGGTTCCGGCCCACGGGTCATATGTTTGACACCTCAACATCACCCTTCCTTAGCTGAGTTCTGTTTTCTCTGAT